TTTTTAATTGATTTTGAGGGAGAGAAAGGAAGGGTGAGAGAGAGAGAAAGAGAGCGGAGGGCTGCCTCCTGCACGCCCCCTACCGAGGATTGAGCCGAAACCTGAGCGTGTGCCCTGACTGGGAATCTACCAACAGCCTTTTGGTGCATTGGATGACGCCCAACCAACTGAGCCACACCAGTCAGGGCTGCTCCCTTACTTTTTAAATTAGGACCAAGGAGGGGGCGCCATAGGCTTGGAGAGTCATCCATTCTCAGGCTTCTGAGAAAGGTTCTGCCATACCAGGCCTGAACAAGATGAGGCGGGGAGAAGGGGGAGGGAGGTATAGGGGAGTGGGGGTGTCTCTCCTCTTTCTGATGACCCCTCTTTTCCTTGTCTGTCCCTAGGTGCCTGAGCACACTTATATATACATTCATACATGATGCTCAGCTAACCCAGCCTCAGCTTCCTTTCCCTATTCTTCTATCGTCATCTGTTCTCCTCAGAAGATGTTTATCAAGTAAGCAACTAGTAGGATCCTGGATTCTTCTGGGCTCCTAGCACAAAGCCACCTTCACAGCAGTTTTGATAGCAAAGGTGAAGGTGAAGGTGCCTGCATTGTCTCAGCTGTGAAACTGATGTGAGTATGTGTATAAGGTGTGTGCTTGTATGTATGTTTGTATGTGTCAGTGTGTGAATACATCTGTGTGTTGCAGGCATTTCCACCTACTTGTTTCGGGTTGGTGGAGCATGAAGACTGGAGGAAGAGGGTACTATGTGGTGTGAGAATGCCCCTGAAGGGTCTCTGCTCACCAGATGCTCACTCTGGAAGGACAGATGGCTTGAGTTGGCTCACAGATAAACCCCTGGCAACCTGGGTATTTCACATGCTGAGGGCTGGTTCCAAGTCTAGGCCTGGCTCCCCAGATTGGAGGAGTCCAGGCTTCAGTGGGAGGGATGAGCTGTAAGGGAGAGAGCCTACTCAAAAGCTGGGAAATTGAAATATTCTTGAGTGACCTTTGGTCAGTACTCCGGATGAATTGAATGAGCCCCTTCACCTCCTGGCGCCTGCATTGTTTTCATCTTTCAAAATGCTGAGGTGGTAATTAAAGGGACACTGGAGGGGAAAGTAATTCTATTTAGGGCTTTCATGTCTCCTTTTGTTGCTACTTAATGATGTTTCTTCACTTCTTCTGTAAATTCACCTGCCAATTCCTACTACCCCCTCTCCCACTCCAGTCTGGATCTCACATTCAGAAACTTCCCCAGTTGAGAGAAATCTTACTGATCCAACTCTAGATGTTACATGAATTTAGAGGCACACCCCAGTTTTGGGTCACATAGCCAACTGGGAGAGAGCCAGGACTAGAAATCACATCTCTAAACCAGCCAGCTGACAGATGACTTTGTGTCAGAACACCCAGCTGTAGCTCAGCTGTAGGACTTAATATGATGCCAGAATCAAGTGCCTAGCTAAGAGCTGGGCATGCAGGACTACCTAGTAAATGTTGGGTCCCAAGAATGTCCCTGGGGAGTTTTTGAGGCTTTAATGATATTATTCATAAGTTAGAAATCTATAGTTTATCTGGTAATGGTAAGTGAATTTTCCTGTGATGGTTTGTGGAAAAGCTAATTCAAAAGCTAGTTGGTGCCCTAACTGGTTTGGCTCAGTGGATAGAGCAGTGGCCTTCGGACTCAAGGATCCCAGGTTCAATTCCAGTCAAGGGCAATGTACCTTGGTTGTGAGCACATCCCTAGTGGGGGTTGTGCAGGAGGCAGCTGATTGATGTTTCTCTCTCATTGATGTTTTGAACTCTCTGTATCATCTCCCTTCTCTCTGTAAAATATATTTTAAAAAAGAAAAGAAAAAGAAAAGCTAGTTGGCTAACAATAGGACTAGACTTGGCCAAGTCAACTGTGGCCAATCTTCATTTGTCCTTGGATCTGACATGCTATTCTATTATATTATGGAAGTAATTAAGGTTAAGGTTAATAAAGTATTTCACTCATCCATTCATTGATTTAACAAGCATCATTTTTAAAAAATATATATTTTATTGATTTTTTTTTTTTTTTACAGAAAGGAAGAGAGAGAGATAGAGAGTTAGAAACATCGATGAGAGAGAAACATCCATCAGCTGCCTCTTATACACTCCCTACTGGGTACATGCCCTTGACTGGAATTGAGCCTGCAGGTTGACGCTCTATCCACTGAACCAAACCGGTTAGGGCACAAGCATCTTTTATATCTACCATGTGGCAGGCATTGTGCATGGCATGGGAATACTGCAGTGCATATGATATATCCCAGCTTTCAGGAAGTTTGGGTGTAGTGGGGAGCTCAGACATAGATGAAAATAGGATGAAATGGAGGCCTAAAGGAGGAAGGGGCCTCCTGTCTTTGAGAGTGCAGGGAGGCTTCTAAAAGTGAAGTTTGAACTGAATTATGAAGGATGAATAGGGGTTCACTAGTGAACAAGATGAGAAAGGTCTTCCTCATAGAGAAAAACATGTGCAGAGGTCTAAAGATATGAACATTTCTGGCATATGTGGAGCTCAGTCTAGAAGGAGGGTTGGATATGAGCTGGTGGCAGAGACCACTGTCAGGGGGAAATGAGACTGGAAAAGTAACAAAAGATAAATTCTTTTGTGCCTGAGTTCTATTTTTAAAAATATTTTTATTGATTTCAGAGAGGAAGAAAGATAGATAGATTGATAGACAGCTGGATAGATAAATCAATGATGAGAGAGAATCATTGATCAGCTGCCTCCTGCATACCCTGGGCATTGAGCCCAGGCATGTGCCCTGACCAGGAACTGAACTGTAACCTCCTGGTTCATAGGTTGATGCTCAACCATTGAGCCACACCAGCCAGGCCTGAACTCTAGTTTTATTTAGTAAACACAAAGTATCTACTATGTGCGGGCACTGTTATAAATGTTTTACAAATAGCAAATAATTTAGTCTTCAGCTGAAACCGGTTTGGCTCAGCGGTAGAGCGTCGGTCTGCGGACTGAGGGGTCCCAGGTTTGATTCCTGTCAAGGGCATGTACCTTGGTTGCGGGCACATCCCTAGTAGGGGGTGTGCAAGAGGCAGCTGGTGGATGTTTCTCTCTCATTGATGTTTCTAGCTCTCTCTCTCTCTCTCTCTTCCTCTATGTAAAAAATCAATAAAATATATATATTTTTAAAAATAATAATTTAGTCTTCATAATGACTGTGCAGGGGAAACAGGCATAGAGAGATTAAATGACTTGCCCCAGGTCACTCAGCTGAGATTTGAACTGTGAAATGTACTGATCCTGGGGGAAATATTGCCATGCTTCTATTCATTTTTTTTAAAAATATATTTTTATTGATTTTTTTTTTTTTTTTTTTTACAGAGAGGAAGAGAGAAGGATAGAGAGTTAGGAACATTGATCAGCTGCCTCTTGCACACCCCCCACTGGGGATGTGCCCGCAACCAAGGTACATGCCCTTGACTGGAATCGAACCTAGGACCTTTCAGTTCGCAGGCCAACGCTCTATCCACTGAGCCAAACCGGTTTGGGCTATTCATTTTCATAGATGTTCTCTAGGTGCTTGATAGACGCTGGGAATGAAATGGCTTATGTAACTTATGCAACTCTTGTCGGGTTTAATGTCTATCCTGGAAGATGGATGATTAAACAGTTAATTAAATGAAGTCACTGGAAGTTCTCACATTACAGGTCCAAATTCAGGTAGGCCAAATCTGAGCACCTGGGAATGATGGCAGGACCGGGACCCTTAGACCCCACACCTTGGAAATGATTTAGCTCTTGTGAGGGTCTGCTCATTGCTTGGTGAGCTCTCCTTCAGCTCTCTGCCAGACAAACCAAATGCCTTGGCTTCATAGGAAACCCCTAGCCAGGGGTGGCAAGTGCCAGAAATAAACAGTGCAGAAAGGCTGAAAGAGGAATGCAGCCAGCATGCAGCGGACACAAAGAACAGTGCAGTCAGGGAGACAATATTGAAACTAAGCTTGAGGAAATTACCTGCGTTATTCCAGCTGCCAAGGAAATAGAGTTGGAATGAGGGTGGAAGGCATTCTGATTAAGTAGAGGGTACAAGATCCAGCCTATGTGCCATGCAAAGAAGTTTGGTCCTTCCCATGGAATCAGTGGGGAACTTATCACATGGATTTGAACAGCAACATTATATGATCCCATTTGCATTTTAGAAAGATATCTCTGGCAGCTATTTGGTAGTTTGATTAGAGAGGGACTATCCTAGAGGCCAGGAAACAGGCAAGAAATCAAGGGAATAGCAGTTGGCATACAGCAGAAGAGATGGATTTAAGAAATATACAAGCAGCAGCATTGACAAGATTTATCCACCAGTGTATAGACTGCTAGCCTTACATCAATAGCCATCTCTCTGTTTTCTCTTTTAATAATGTTTTAGCCGAAACTGGTTTGGCTCAGTGGATAAGCATCGGTCTGCAGACTGAGTGGTCCCAGGTTCGATTCTGGTCAAGGGCATGTATTGATACATTGGTTGCGGGCACATCCCTGGTGGGGAGTGTGCAGGAGGCAGCTGATCGATGATTCTCTCTCATCAATGTTTCTAGCTCTCTATCCCTCTCCCACTCTGTAAAAGATCAATAAAATATATTTTAAAAAATAATGTTTTAGCTAAGTATATGGCGAGAGACTACATTTCCCAGCTTTCCTTCATTCTGGCCAACTTCTGAGCAGAAGTTAGTGGTGTCCTTAAATAGGAAAGCACTTTGTGCTTACCACCCCCACCCCAATTCATCTCAATGCTAGTGGAAGCTGCCTGGGCCACACTGGTCACAAAGATGGTAGCTAAATATTGAGGATGGCAGAGGTGTCTCCACAGTCCTGAAGCCTTTGTTATAGCAGTTTGGACTATACTAACCAGTTGCTCATCCTTTGGGTACGTGCAGTGAGGAAGTGAGAAGCTCCTGGGTGGATGGTGTTAACTGGGTCAAGGAGATTCAAAGACAGGGTAGAGTTGGGTAGAATAGGGTGGAGTAGAAGAAGATAAACTTGGTTTTGAATATATTGAATGTGAGATGTCTGATAACAGTGGTGTGTAGTAAATGTTTTAACAATAAGCTCTTTGAGAAGGAGGAGTCCTGATCTGAAACGTTTGCTGATTTCCATGGTGTAAATATGTCCACTGTGATGACTATAAGTTACTACTATAAATATGATTTCACTGAGCAAGGAGAGTGGGGAAGAGAGGTACACAATGGGACCTTGTAAGCTGGTCCGAGCTGGGACAAGGTGACTCTAGCACAACACTGTCCATAAGCATTCAGATGGAGATATTCAGTCTGCAGTCAGATATACACCAAGTCTGCACATGAAAAGAGATATCTGGGCTGCAGACAGAGGTTTGGGAATTAGGAGTAATTAGGGAGTAGTACTAGATGAAATCACTAGTGAACAGCACAGAAAGAGAAAAGAGGAGGCAGAAGTCAGGTTCCTGGAAAAACAAACACAAAAACAACAACGTTTACAGAATGCCCTGAGGTGAGGAAGAAGGTCAAGAAGCCTGAGAAAGAACAATTAGAGGAAGAAGGAAGTGTCTCATTACTTGTCAGAGCCAGGTTCTCAACAGTGCTCCAGGGCTTCTGCCTGCTCAGAGGAATTGGTCATTCATTGGTCATCGCCTACCTCTCTGTATCCTTCGCCTCCCTCACCCACCCGTCCTTTCAATTATCTTTTAAACAAGCTCTAGTAGCTCCCATCAAAACCCAAATATCGGCCGAAACCGGTTTGGCTCAGTGGTAGAGCGTCGGTCTGCGGACTGAAAGGTCCTGGGTTCGATTCCGGTCAAGGGCATGCACCTTGGTTGCGGGCACATCCCCGGTAGGGGGTGTGCAAGAGGCAGCTGGTCGATGTTTCTCTCTCATCAACGTTTCTAGTTCTCTATCCCTCTCTCCTCCTCTCTGTAAAAAATCAATAAAATATATATTTAAAAAAAAAACAAATATCGGACTCCACATCCTCCTTCCACTGATATTCCACTTTCCTACACCCTCCACGTGAAGATCCCCAAAGCCATGGTCACTTTGGTTGTCTCCACTGTGTCATTTCTCACTCACCCTCAGCCCACTGCAAGCACAACACCCTTTGCAAATGCTCTGGCAAAGTCACTAGTGGCCTCTGCTTTACTCAATCCTGTGCGCACTTCCCAGCCCAGTCTTGCTTCATTGCTCTGCAGCATTCAACGCTGTTTATCATTCCCTTTTTGGAACACTCTATTCTTTTGGTTTCCAAAACTCACATTCTCCTGATTTTCTTCTTAGCTCTCTGGCTTCTCCTTTGGCAATTTGTGTTCCTCTGCCTGACCTCGGGCCATCTTGTCTTTTCCCCAAACCTCTTGATGACGTCATATGCTCTAAAATGTCACTCCGAAGGATCTAATTCAACCCAGACTCTTCTGCTGAGCCCCAGACCTGTTGGGACAGCCACCTACTGAACATTCTTCCTTGCACCTCTCCTAGATACCTCAAACCTAATACACCCCAACTTAAAACTCTTGCCCTGGCCAGTATGGGTCAATTGGTTGGAATGCCTTCCCGTACACCAAAAGATCATGGGTTCAATTCCCTGTCAGGACACATATTCAGGGTTATGGGTATGATCCCCAGCTGGGGTGCATATAGGAGGCAACCAATCCATGTTCCTCTCTCACACTGATATTTCTCCCTCTCTAAAGTCAGTGAAACATATCCTTGGGTGAGGATTGAAGACAATAACAACAACTACAACAACAACTATAACAAAAACACCTCTTGATCTTTCTTCTCAAATGTGGCCCTTCTCAAATGTTCTGCTCTTAGTAAGTGGGACTTTCAGGATTATTATTATTTAATAATTATCTACCTTCTGTCTCCTTTATAAACTACAAGCTCCTTGCATACAGAGAAGGGTGTACGTGTTCCCAGTTGTAGTCTCAGTGCCCAGGACAGTGCCTGATAGATCATTTGGATTCAAGAAATATTTGCTAAATGAGTTAAAATAGCTAATAGTCATATTAGCACAGAAACTAAAGTGAGAGGAAGGAGTGTCAGATGCCCTAGAACCCTGGTCGGCAAACTGCGGCTCTTGAGCCACATGTGGCTCTTTGGCCCCTTGAGTGTGGCTCTTCTACAAAATACCACTTAGCTCTCTGGCTTCTCCTCTGGCAATTTGTGTTCTTCTGCCTATTTTGAAGAAGTTTAAGTTTAAGTTTAAAAAATTTGGCCCTCAAAAGAAATTTTAATTGTTAGTACTGTTGATATTTGGCGCTGTTGACTAATGAGTTTGCCGACCACTGCCCTAGAGAGATGAACAAAATTGGGTTCTAGTCCAAGGCTGCTAGTTTTCTAAGTGACTTTAGGGAAGTCACTTTGCCCATCTGTAGATTGAGAGAAAACTGAAGTCAATTACCTGTAAGGTCCCTTCCAAGTTCTAACATTAAATTGACATCTGTTATCTACTGCTAATATATCACTAAATTGGTAGGTGAACGTAAATGGAATTTGTGCTTAACTAAGAATGTGACTTTCTTCTTATTTTCTTTAAAAATTTGTGCATTGAACACTATTTTAATGTCTATAATAGAGGCTAAATAAAAATTGTCTGTTTTGATACTTTACTTTTAAATTACATGAGGACTCAATGAAGGCTATTCGTGTACTTGAACTTTCCTAAGCCTTTTCAAAATCCATGGGGATCTCATAACAATCCAAGGTGACTTGCAGGGCAGGTAGTTGTAAACACTCCCATTTTACAGAGGTGGAAACAGGCCTATACTTACATTCTCATCCCTGTCAGGGGGATTCATGGAAAGACTAGTATTGTTACCATTGCATAGTAAAGTCGCTAAAGCTGTCTTGGTTCATATCTCTACTCTGCAGTCCTAGGAATCACTTCCACTACTCTAAAATGGAAACAACGCTAGTACTTAACTTCACAGTATTTTCGTGAGAATTAAGTTAGTATGGAACTCAATAAATATGAGTTATTACAGTGTCATTCAGACACTGTAAAAAGTTCTACAGCCGAAACCAATTTGGCTCAATGAATAGAAAGTGGGCCTGTGGACTGGAAGGTCCGGGGTTCGATTCCGGTCAAGGGCATGTACCTTGGTTGCGGGCACATCCCCAGTAGGGGGTGTGCAAGAGGCAGCTGATTGATGAGTCTCTGTCATCGATGTTTCTAACTCTATCCCTCTCTCTTCCTCTTTGTAAAAAATCAATAAAATCTATATTTTTAAAAAACTTCTACAAAAGCCCACTTTGGTGAGGAACTGCCTCAGCAAGATTCTTCTCATGGCATCCCCAGCTTCCCCAGGGCCCACAGCAGACCCATTCCTTCCAGCTCAGAGATTTTCAGAACTGTTGCCCCTTCCCTCTGCCTCCAGTCCTGGGCAGGTCAGGATCTCCCCAGCTCCAACTCCTGGCGAGGGGCGTGGTCTCATAAATCGGGGGCGTGGCCAACCAGAGAGGCGGGGCGTAGAGCTTCCCAGCCTGGAGCCACCCAATCCGGGAGTGCGGGTCACGTGACCAGAGAGTGGTTTCACCCTCCCCTATGCCGATACCACCTCTGACAGCTCCGGGGGGCCTATCTTACTCCTTTTCGGAAGGCTAAGCATTCATTTGGGTCCGTTTTGCGTCGAAATAGTGCGTAGTGACAGCTTCGTTTTGACAGAGTCAACCTTTGCCCCTTAAGTAGTACCTTCCGCTCCGGCCTCCCCCCACTAAGCCGTTGGTCTCGCCCAGCCGGGCCCTGGGCGCGGCGGCGGCGGCCGCGTCACTGGCAGGCGGGATCCCTCCGCTCTGGGGAGAACGGCGCTGGGCGGCTGAGTTGGGGCGATTGAGAAAATCCATCCGCGCCGCCGCCGCCGCCCGCCTCCGCCGCGGAGGAAGACCGGACCTCCCGCGCTTCTCCAGCGACCCTTGGCAGAGTCCCACCGCCACAGGTACCTGACGCTGGCCAAAGGAGCCCTCGTCCCCCCCAGCCCCAAATTTCCCTGGGGGGGTGGGCACCTTTCCTCCTTCTGCCTCCCGGATCTGGCCTCTTGGGAGCGGACGTAACTCCCCGGACCTCCCCTCCCTTCCTCTGGCCCTGTCGCTCCTAAACCCGGAAGGGGAACTGAGGACCCTCGCTCCCAATAATGCATGCCCTCCCTGCACCCTTAGGCCCATTATGCCGGACCCCAGGTCCCATCCGGGCCCCGCCAGCCTCTGGATCCCTGAGAAGTTGGGGACAAATTGGGAGCTTCCTCTAGGCCCCGTTCCGCCCCCTTCCCTTTCCCTCCCCCTGTGTGCCCCCGAGTAGCACCCCTCGTGCCCTCCCATTTCGTACCCCCGGTGGCATTCTTCTTGCAAAACTCCAGAATCCCCAGAGAGTTAGGCCAGGCCGCGAGGCCCCCCTTCCCTTCGCCACTCGCCTACCCCCGATGTGGGTTCTGCCTGCTTTCTGGCCCCATTAATCTGGAAGGGAGTCCTCGGCACCCCTCTCCCTTTCCTAGTCCTAACCCCGAGCCCGGCTCCCGGAGCCCCCGCCCCCTGCCCAGATTTCTTTTGGGCAAAATGGAGGTCGTGGGGACCTGCGGGCCAGGCCCACAGCGCTTGCGGCGCGGTGCCGGCCTGCGCCTTTAGCTGCCAGACCGGACCCTCCCTGGTCCCCTGCCCTGCGCCTCGCAGGCTTGCGGGGGCGGGGGCACCACCATTCCTCCTGTGACCCGAGCTGCTGGGTGCCCAGAATTCGGGGCCCCTGAGGGGGTCCCGGAGGTGGATGAGGCCGCGGGCTGGGAGCATCGCCCCCGCCCCAGCGGCTTCCTCCCGGCCGGCTTCCTGCCGCCCTGGCCTCTGGCGTCGCCTCCCGCCCGGGCCGCGGCCGCTGGAAGGAAGGGGCTTTGTCAGGCGCTTGGGAGGCGGCGGGGGGCGTTGCTCCCTCCACGCTTTTTCCGAGGGGCATCCCTGGGCGCTGGCGTCGAAAGCTGAACTGACGGAGGGGAAATGTCAGTGGGGAAGGGGAACGCCCAGGGCTGGGGGAAGTGGGAGCTGGGTGGGGGACGCCCGAGTGCGGGGTGCTGGGCCGGATCACACAGGTGTCCAAAAGGGGGAGCAGGGGAGGACAGGGCTCTGGGTCCTGGAGCGGAGCCAGCCAGGCCCCTGGGGCCCCAGTGACGAGCCGGCGGACTGGGATCCCGGTGTCGCGGGCGCAGGGCTGGGCCGCCCTGGGGCCGCCGCTCGCGGCGCCGCAGAGCGAGCAGCTCGGGGCCTCGGGGCGGGAGACCTCTCTTCGGAGCCCTAATTACCGGTGAGTGGCTCCCGCGGGCTCTCCGCAGCCGCCGGGGCGGGCGGCCCGGGCTCTGGAGGGAGCAGCGGCTGCAGGCTGCCTCCCCGCACTCCCGCCTCCACCTGCCGCGGGCGGGCAGCTAATGGGGTGCAGGCGGCCCAAGGATTATCCGGGGTGAGCCATCCCGAACCTATTAGTGCCCAGTCCGCTTTCCCCAAATCCTGTAAACAGCCACCCTGGCCGGTTCTGGGGAGGAGCGGGAGGCTGGGTCGGGCGGGGGCGATGGGGTCGGGGGTGGGGTCACCCACCCTACAGGTCTCTGCCTGGGATGCGGTTGTCTTGGCAACCAGGCTAGGGTGGGGACACTTCACCAATGAGAGGCTCTCATTCCGGGTGACGGTTGCCTAGGCAACCCCACGAACAGCCCAGCTCACCCCTCTTGTCTTCCCCCTCCTCCCCCCTTCCCAGGCTGAGCTGGGGGGGGGGGTGTGCGGAGGGGTGTGCGGCTTGGGGGGTGAATTTGAAGAGGCGCCGCCCCTTTTAAAATGAGGTGCTCGTTGGGTGGTGCCGGTGTGGGCGGGGCAGACGCTGGTCTGTTTTGCAGGGACTCTCCACCCTCTTCACCTCCCTTCCTCCCCCAGTTCCTGTCGCGGGAACCCGCCCGGGCTTCTGTCCGAGGGAGGGGTTTCCCCTGCGCTTCCTCTTGCACTTCCCGCTTCGTTTCCGGGGGGCGGGAGGAAGATTGGGGAAGTCAGCTATTCCTAGGCCACATCTCCAGCGGCAGAGGCCCGGTTCTGCTGGGGAGACCGAGGCCACCACCACCGCCCTCTTTCCTTTCTGCCCAGCGTTCACTCCTCCCTGCGGTCTTCGCTCTGCCTTTCCCCCTCTTCTTCCCCGTGGCCTCGGGCCTGACGCCTGCCCTGCATCCCCCAGGCCTCGGGCCAGCGGCGAGGAGCTGCCGCCCCCAGCCCCCTTCCCGCGGCCCCCAGCCGCCCCCAACCCCGCCCCACGGGCCCGGCGCCATGAGTGAGCTGGAGCAACTGAGACAGGAGGCTGAGCAGCTCCGGAACCAGATCCGGGTGAGGCCTGGCCGCTGAGCTGCGGGTGGGGGACTGTGTGTGTGTGTGTGTGTGTGTGTGTGTGTGTGTGTGTGTTCGAGTTCGCGCCTGCGCATGTGCTGGATGGGGAGGGGTGTTCTTTATGTGTGGGGGTGTACCCTAGCCCTTTACTGTCTTACCCTCTCCTCCCGTCTTATGTGTTCTTTCCTCCCCTTTCCCCCTCATTTCTGCTCTCTGACTGGTTCTGCCATATATTATAGGATGCCCGAAAAGCATGTGGGGATTCAACACTGACCCAGGTGAGATGAATCCAGTGCTGGACTTGGGGTTAAGGGAAGGAGCGAGGGTTTGAGGCATACTGCTTAGTGGGCTCTGCCTTCTGACCCTGGCTGCCTCCACCTCCAGATCACAGCTGGGCTGGACCCAGTGGGGAGAATCCAGATGAGGACACGGAGGACCCTCCGTGGGCACCTGGCAAAAATCTATGCGATGCACTGGGGGACAGACTCAAGGTGTGTGCGCGGCTGGGACTGGGTGCTGAGCTTTTGTGTTTGCCCTCGGGCTAAGGTTATAGCAGGCCGCTGGGGGAGTGGGGAGGGGCAGCCTTGCAGATCTGAGATGAACAGGATGCCCGTGCTGCTGAGTATGTTTGGGAAGACTGTGGCTCCCAGATCCCCTGAGGGGATTGGAAAGAGGCCCACACTGACAGGAACTTCTGGACTGTTGCTGGGAGTTGTCTCAGGAGACAGGAGAGCCTCCCACCAGATGGGAGGCTGGTAAGAGTGTCTCTCCAGAGGGGGCTTCACACCCTGACCCCTCTGTCTCTCCCTTGCCACTACCCAACAGGCTGCTGGTCAGCGCCTCCCAGGATGGGAAGCTCATCATTTGGGACAGCTATACCACCAACAAGGTAGTGGTGATGCCTGAGGCTGGATGGGGCTGGACTGCAGGCCCTGCCTGGGTTCTGACCCTGAGCACTGCCCCTCCTCCATAGGTCCATGCCATCCCGCTACGTTCCTCCTGGGTTATGACCTGTGCCTACGCGCCCTCAGGGAACTTTGTAGCCTGTGGGGGGTTGGACAACATCTGCTCCATCTACAGCCTCAAGACCCGTGAGGGCAATGTCAGGGTCAGCCGGGAGCTGCCTGGCCATACTGGTAAGGGGGGCCTGGTAGGACATAGGTGCTGTTGGGGGGGAGGGGCTGTGCTACCTTCCCTTAAAGACCTGGCTGACCAGCCTTTTCCCCCAGGGTACCTGTCCTGCTGCCGCTTCCTGGATGACAACCAAATCATCACCAGCTCTGGGGACACCACCTGGTGAGGCCCTGTCCACACTTCCTGCCTCAGTGCTTAGCATGTACTGCCCACCCTGAGCAAGAGGGCAGAGCTCTTATTCCGAACACCTAGCCGCCTCCTGTGGTGGTAAGGTGGAGGAGACGAGTAGGGCTCTGTGATTCAGTGGCTCCTGATGCCCCTTCCTTGAAGACCGTCAGGGCTGGGCTCATGTGGTGGAGGATTAGGGAGGCAAGAGTCCTCTCTGCCCTCCTCTCTGATCCCTCCCTTCTTCCGTCACCTTTCTAGTGCCCTGTGGGACATTGAGACAGGCCAGCAGACTGTGGCTTTCGCTGGACACAGCGGGGATGTGATGTCCTTGTCACTGGCCCCCGATGGCCGCACCTTTGTGTCAGGTGCCTGTGATGCCTCTATCAAGCTGTGGGATGTTCGGGACTCAATGTGCCGACAGACCTTCATTGGCCACGAATCCGACATCAATGCCGTGGCTGTAAGTTCTGGGCAGATTGGCTGGCCCCTCTCTGACAGGCTCCTGGCCCTGTTCTGTGCCCTAATTCCACTCTGGTTTTGTCCTGTAGTTCTTCCCCAACGGCTATGCCTTCACCACTGGCTCTGATGATGCCACGTGCCGCCTCTTCGACCTGCGGGCCGACCAGGAGCTCCTCATGTATTCCCATGACAACATCATTTGCGGCATCACCTCTGTTGCCTTCTCTCGCAGTGGCCGGCTGCTGCTTGCCGGCTATGATGACTTCAATTGCAACATCTGGGATGCCATGAAGGGCGACCGTGCAGGTGAGAGCTGGGTGCTGGGCTGAGGTAGGCGAGGACAGGGAACCAGGCCAGATGAGTTCTGATGTACCCCTCCCTCACAGGTGTCCTCGCCGGCCATGACAACCGTGTGAGCTGCCTCGGGGTCACTGACGATGGCATGGCTGTGGCCACAGGCTCCTGGGACTCCTTCCTCAAGATCTGGAACTAAAAGCCCCAACCCCCACTGGGCCCGGCCAGGAGGGGCCTTGCCCACGCCCACACTACAGGCCGGGAGCTTTGGGGCTGGGGCACACGAGCCTCCCTCCCCTGGCCATAGGGCCTTGGGTCCCTGCTCCCCTACCCAGGTTTGGTTCCTCCCGGGGCCCCCACTGTGGAAATGAAGATGGGAATAGAATGGGGGAAGAGGGGCAGAAAGCCCCCCTTCTTTAGCTGCCCTGGGGTCAGGGCCTCATCCCCCTGGAGGGTCAGAGGCAGGCGGTAGAAACTCCAGGGGCTGGCTTTTTTAAAACTGGTTTTATTTTAATTTTTATTATATTTTCAGTTTTTCCATAAAGGAACCAATTCCAACTATGTACCTGGTCTCCTCTTGCTTGTGTCTTCCTTACTTTGGGAGGGCATCAGCTTGGGGGTAGGGGGCCCAAGGGGCCAGAGAGGAAATCTCACTCTTCCTCAGCCCAAAGCCAGAGTCACAGCAGGGATTTTTGCCCAGCAGGGTTGTACGGTTCCTCCTAAACACACACACAGCCCTCCGTTCTGACTGACCAACCACACGATGTCTGCAGTTCTTTTGAATTCCCAGTTCTGACTCTCCTTCCCCTACACCCTCTTTCCCCAAGAAAAGATGCCGAAGCTGAAGGGAACACACACCAAGTTTTATTGGGGGTAGTATTTACAGGGGCAGGAAGGAGAGGGAGGAGTAACAGGGTGGGGAGACTTGGGGTACAAGGCAGACAAGGGGATACAGAAGGCCCGGCACCGCACCCTAACCCCAGGAAGGGCAGGAGAGCAGCCAGGGCCCGGAAAGAGGGGCTGGGAAATAGCGATGGGGGATGAGCCCCTGGGCTTGGGAGGGCTCAGGGGCTTGTAAACATTGACCACTCTCAGAAGGGGACAGGGTGGGAGAGGGTTCCCCCGACACTTCCTCACAGGGTTAAGGCCTCTCCAGGCTCAAAGTCTCTTTAGCTGGGGGGAGGGGAAGGAAGAGAGGGGAAGAGTGTTGGCCCCCCTCCCCCTGCATTGGCTGCGGCAGGGGTGGGGGCAGTTACATTCAGTCACAACAGTACTCCCCCCACGCCTCTAATGCCGCCAAATACTGGCGCAAGGAAAAGGGGAGCTGGGGGGCCAGCAGCAGCAAGACACTTCACCCTGGCCCGTCACCCCCTTATTGCTTTAGAGAGAATATTGTCTTTTCACGGACGCTAACACTGTTGAAACCAGGGAGAAGCAGGTGGAGGGAGCCCCTCCACCCCTCAAGGCCAGCTTTATTCCCCCCAACACTGACCCAGTTGCCACTTTGGTGCAAAAACAAAGGAACAAACAAAAACAACCACCCCAAAACAAACAAAAACACGGGGTCTCTCTGGGGATGGATGTGGGGAAAGAACTGGGGCCACTCCCCATTTCCCCAGGGCAGGAAGGAGAAATACATTCATGGAGGGGAGGCAGTGGCAGAATCCTGCCCTAATACTGCACTCTGAGCAGTGAGGTCAATAGGAGAAATTAGGTGAGAAACCCAAAAGACACAACAAACTTAAAACACACACAAATGAAGACAAACCCAGGCAGGTGACTGGGAATAGGTCCATGAGCAGGACCACCTCCCCCTGACTTAGGCAAAACAACACGTCTATTCTTGACCCCCCACCCCCAACCTTACCCAACATTAAAAATGTATCAGGGGAGTAGGAAGGGGAGAGGCCACTCACTCTCCAGTTTGGTCAATGGAGGGGCCAGGGCAGAGCTGGGTGGTCCATGTCCCATAGCCAGCGGGCTGCAGGTGGAAAGCTCCCTTCTCACAGCCCCACACTGCAACCTGAACCCCAAGCTGCCCACTCCCTTGGCCTCCTGGGCCTCTCTCCTCACCCCCTTCACAGGAGAAATAGTCATTAAGTGGTGCCTCTCTCCAGCCCCAGGAGGAACGAGTCTGCCCCACCTCACTCGAAGGGATGCAGCAGGGGCTTATGGCCCAAGGAATACATTCATGTGGCAAGGCAGGGAGCTGGGCTTTCAGCTTCACACCCAGTTCCCCTAATGGCAGCGGTGGGGGACCCCTCACCAGGGCCAGAGTGGAAGTTCTGCTGTCCTGACAGCCAGATGAGGTTGGCACTGGCTGGCCCTCTGCCATCGACCCCCTCAGCCACCTGGGGACGGGAGGTGGCCTGGCCCATTTGTGCAACTTTCCCCCAAAGCAGCAAAGCCAAGGGACTCCGTTAGCCCTGACCCCGGACACCTCTGCCACAATCATAGCAATAAGGGGGCCTTTCACAGCAGTCCGGCCGGTGGGGCTGAGGGGACCTCGCTGTGCAAACTGCTGGCACCCCAGCTTCCAGTTACCTCGATGGCCCATCTGGTAGGGCAGGGAGGGTAAGTGCAGCCTTGGGGGCCAGGCAGGACAGACTGATGGGGCCATATCCCCACTGCCCAAAAATAACAGTGTGTTTTTTCTTTCAGCCTCCTAACTTTTTTTTTCTTTTTTCTTTTCTTAAAAAAAAAACACAACCCAACAAAACAAAAAACTCTGTGGACCTTCCATTGTCATCCCCACAATCCCCAGAGGTGGGAAGGGGTGCTTAGAGTCTAGTTTTTAACAATTTCGTCTCTCCTAACGTCTTCAATGTTTAAATTTTCTTTTTAAAGGAAAAAAAAAAACCTTCCCCCCCAATCTATTAAAGTGCCTCGTGGTGGGTGAGTTAAGGTGCATCGTGTGGTTTGTAACAAGTGCTGGGGACCCTGCCCCTGCTTCCTCCTATGCTCCCTATCGGGAGCCTGCAAGCTGGGGACCCAAGAGTCCAAGCTGCTGCTGTTGCCCCTGGCCTCTAGCCCAGGGGGGCTGGTGGGACGGGCTGCTCAGTAGTCATCCACGCTCTCGATCTCACCAGAAGGTCCATGCAGGGAGTACCCTGAAGCCGGAAGAAGCTGGGTTTCAGCTTTCACCCACAGGTGCCTCCTCCAAGCTGAAGAAGGAGCCTCTTTACTGACCGCACCCCCAAAACATACCCAAGATGCTAGGGTCCGAGTGTAGCATTAGTGCCCTCCTCTTGGCCTTGCTGCCCTCCCCAGGGCCAAGTTTGGTGCTGTGGTTGGTCTGAAAGGCGGCCTGCAGAGAGCCGCTGCTCAACCACGCCTCCTGCTGGGCAGCAGAAAGGGAGAGGGAGTCAGGAGGGTGCTGGGCAACCTCTTCCCCACCTGCAGGGGAAGCCAAGCCGCACCTGCTGCTGTTGCCGTTGTTGGCTGGCTTTCTGTTTAGCCCTCCGTTCCAGGAATTGTTTGGCAAATTCTTTGGCTTCCAGCGTGTCCCCCAGGCAGGAACGAATATAATCGTGGACATCATAGGGGGATTCCACCTCCTTGAGGATCGCTACAGCCATGGGCACTATAGGCAGGACGGTGGCTGTCAGGGCCCACCTGATGCAGGTCTGGCCCAGCCCAGCCCAGCCTCCCAGCGTCTGCCCCTGTACCATCCAGGCTGCCCGTGGTGCTCAGTGTGTGCAGCATCTGCTCACACCACTGGGTGAAGCCATCCTGGGGCCTGGGAATGCCCTGTAAAAGCTTCAGCAGCTTCTCTTCCTCCTCGGTCTTTTTGCGCACAGGCCGACCAGACAGGTGGCTATACGAGTCACTAGGTTGGACAAAGATAGATTAGAGACGAGATCAGTCCAGATGCTCTCCATCCTCCCAGCCCTAGCCCAGACCCTGCGCCCTGGGACCCACCTGAGAGAGGGGCTGCTCCGGCTGTTCTTGAGGCCCAGGCTGCGGGCCAGGCTCCCGCTGCTCTTGGCGGTGTCCTCCCAAAGCCCCAGGCCGACGCTGCTGCCCCCACTCTTGTCGGGGCCGCCCCACAGCGACCCGGACTCAGATACCCACTGGTTCACGGGAGTAGCGCCCAGGCCCCCAAGCTGATATAGATGGCAGAAAGTCAGGGTGCCCAAACAGGGAAGGAAAGCTACGTGGGAGGCTTGTAAGGATCACATAGGGGGGCAAAGTAAGGATCACATAGAAGAGCGATCCTTCAGTCATACACGGACCAGTGCTCCCCACCCACACCCAAGTCACCCTGAAAACTGACTGGAAGGGGTTCCTGCAGGCCCACAACTTGCAAGTCAACCGGGGAAGGGCCCAGCGCGCTCACCACTCGGTGGTTGGGGGCCTGGGCCCGCGATGACTCCCGAGGCAGAGGCTGCTTATGCAGCTGTCGCTCGCTCTCCAACTGCAGCTCAAGCAGCGCCTTCATGGAGAGTCCTTGCTTGGCCAGCCCAGCCCAAAGAGGGGGTGGGGAGCTGGGTGCAGGGGGCACTGGGACGGTGGCCGCTGCCTGCTGCTGCTGCAGCAGCTTCAGGAGTAGCTCCTGTTGCCGCACCTGAACCAGTGAAGCAGTGAGGCAGTGAGGGCCGGCAATCTGGCCCCGGCTCAGGCCCAAGAAAAGAGGGCTCAGCTGGGAACCCACCTGCTTGCGCCGAAACAACTCCTCTTCCTCCTGTCGCCGCTTCTGCTCCTCCTGTTGCTGCTGGCGTCTCTTCTCTTCCCGGCGCTTGCGCTCCTCCTCTTCCCGCTTCACCCTGAGCTCCACTTCTCTGCGCTCTTGGAACTGACAGTCAACGAAATCAGCCGTCAGATGTGGGGGCTGACTTCTCTGCCTCAGTTCAGTCCTTGACATCAAAGATTCCAGCCCCAGGATGCCTACTCACTTTATGTTGCAGCTGGAGTTGTTCTAGAATTGGACCCTGAGTCGAAGAGTTAATTGGTATGTCCCATAGACTGGCCTCACCGCCTGCAAGAGGCAAAGGCAGCTGCAGGAGGGCGCTCAGGCCCCCTGGACTGAAGCAACTTGAGGGGTAGGGGAAGCCCCTGAGCTCCCTACTCCCCCTGAGCCTACTGGCTGGACACACACCTGATTGTGATGAGGCTGAGGTATGTATATCCCAGAGGGAGCCTGAATCTGGCACCGACAAAGACCGGTTCATCGTCGGGAGCAGGTTCTGGTCCCCACTTCTGAGGAGCAAAGCACTGATTCTCAGTAATCTACACCCATCTCCCCACTTTACATATCCCGAGGGCTCACACATGCAGCCAAGCAAAGACTGAGATGTGACAGGCAGAGCAGCCCACAGACCTGAGGGGTTTGAGAGCTTGGAGCTGCTGCAGGAAGGCGGTAAGCTGCTGCTGCTGCGGTGGCGTCAAGTCCCCCAGAGCCACCTTTTCCCGGAGCCCACACTGCTGGAGGGGGCGGCTGCAGAAAGGAAGACAGGCCTGAGGGGGCCGCCCACATAACAGTGTCCATCCCTGCTGACCGGTCCTCCTGGGCCTGTACCTGTTGACCAGCTGAAGGAACTGCTGGTGCTGCAGTTGCTGGTAC